ACTCCAGCCCCGGAGGCGAGACGGACCAACGGAACCCAGTTTGGTCGTCAGTGACTTCATTTCCCGCTGCCAATTCAACTTCTGTCCACCTTGAGTCTTGCGCCACCCTAAACCTGGCAGACTGAACAAGGTCCTCCTAGGTAAGCGGTGGACTGGCTTGCCGAACAACCTCGTGGTGCCAGCTGGGTGGTTCGGGATTTTCCCGTTCCAGCAAATGGTTCGGCGGCAGTGTTTCAGGACGTGGGTTTTCGCCTGGCAAGCGTTCTCCCTATAAAAAACCACATATGTCCGTTTAACAACACTTTGACATGGCGGACGTGACTCGCCACTAAATAAAGTCACTGCCCCTTGCTTCATCCTGGCGAAGCATTGTATTCCAGCAACCTTATGCTGTACTTCTGGGGAGCATTGGGCCCCTGTTTGACAAAGCAACAAACAAAAGGCGTATGAACTGAGCAATCAGTCACCGGCTCCCAATGGGCGCGATTCCCTGAATTCGCTTCGCTGCCTTGTAGGCAGGCTATTCAGCCAAAGGCTCGGGGTGGTGTCCCCCAAGTCAACACCATACTTCGGCTTGGGCAACCGTGTAGTATCTCGCCCTCTGAGGAAACCATGGACATTGTTGTGTTGTATTTTATTTTACTGTTTCTGTATCTTCCTTTGAATCCCATGGTTTCTGATGGCATTATGTCTGTTAGCAGACTTTTGCATATATATATATATATATATATATATATATATATATATATATATATATAGGTAAGCGGTGACCAGGGATACCTGGCACGTGCCCGAGCCAACGCAACTTATTCAGTGCTATCTGTTGTTCTAGGGAGCTAGCATGATTATCACCACCTGGTACTCGCCTACGCACATCATCGTTGCGGACACACTGGTGCCGTCCGACTCCAGCAATGCTTCGCAGACAACGATGATCAAGACTTGAAGGCGCCTCAGGTCTGCAGACCGAAGGGGCCAAGTCTCACTATCATAGAGCAGAACGGCGCTCACTACGGCTTTGTGTACACAGCCTTTCAGACGGAGGGAAACTCCGTTATGTCGCCAAAAATGCCTCAGGTTCAAGAAGGCAGCTCTGGCTTTTGCATTGCGTGAGCTGACGTCAGTTTCTATGCGCCCATCATTGCTGATGCAGCTGACAAGATAAGTGAAGTGATCAACCACCTCGAGTTCCTCGTTAGCAAACGTCAAGGGGTCATCAAGTGGCTTTTTGTCCTGCAGCAACACTTTGCACTTTGAAGGTGCGAAGTGCATACCAAATAATGGGACCACTCTGGACAGGCTATTCAGGGTTGATTGTGCCGCCGCAAAATCGTCGAAAAGCAAGACGATATCGTCCGCATAATCTAGGTCAACTAACCTTTCACCAGGCAGCACTTCAACGCCTACATCATTGGATTCCGTCAGGGAACACTCAATGATAGAATCCACGACGAAATTGAACAAAAACGGGGAAATCGGACCACCCTGACGAACGCCACTTGCAGTCGAAAAGCTATCCGATAGGACACCGTAGACCTTGACGCGGCCCGTAGTGTTCGAGTATAGAGCACGAAGGATGTTCACATATTTCGTGGGAACACCTTTTCGCGCAAGTGATTCGCACAGAATCGATCGATCGACCGAATCGAACGCACTCTTGAAATCGAGGAACACAGCTATTGTCGGTCTGCGGTATGCGTGGCGCTGCTCTAGCACCTGCTTCAAAGTGAATGTATGGTCTATACAACCACGTCCTGGGCGGAAACTGGCTTGCTCTTCCCTAATGCGAGTTTCCTGTTCCCTACTGAGGAGACGAACGCGAATCGAGGCCAGTAGTTTTGTCACAACTGGCGTTAGGCTAATACCCCTGTGGTTAGAACAGTCTGTGCGACTGCCCTTCTTGTATATTGCCACTATAATCGATTCGCTCCAATTAGCCGGCACATTCTCTTCGTTCCAGATACGTTCGAATAGGGAGGTCAGTGCCCTGCGGAGGACCTCACCTCCATCCTTAAATAGTGCAGGTGGGAGGGTATCTGGGCCAGCGGTACGAAAACGATTGAGGACTGTGATCGTGTTTCACACCTCGGCCTCCGACAGAGGGTCTAACCTAACCGTCCATGGCTTGTCCTGCATCACCTGAGTAGGAAGAGGTCCGGGAGCAGGGGGCCAGCTGAACTGATCTTGAAAGTGTTCCGCCCAACGAGCCAGACGGCGCTCCTTATTGTGTATCAGCGCACCCGCGCTGTCTCTGATTGTCTCACTGACGCCTGGTTTTCTGGGACCAGTGTTGCGGATAAGCTGGAAGAGCTTGCGGTAATTACCTACTGCTCCTGTCTCCTCCATTTCTTGAGCCCTACTGGTCCACCCGGCTTCCTTGTCAGCACGTAGGCTCCGCTTTAGTTCGCGTCTAATAGTCCGCCTGGTCACATTGTGTTCAGAACCAGCCGGGAATTTTCTGCTGGATTCCATCAGGTTCACCGACCTCTCGGATATCCATTGACTGGTTCGATGACGATTAATTGTATCATAAGCAGAGATTCCTGTATCGTGCATGGCGGCCAAGATCCTATTCCACTGAAGTTCAGTATCGTTAGAATAAGACAGCGAAAGTTCGGTACGCAGGGCATCCAGGTAGGCTTGACTGACCGAGGGTTAAGAGAAGTTATCAGTTGCCAATCGAGGGAAACGCTTGGGGCGCCTCACAGTAAAGTTCAAGGAGAAATGACAGCGTACCAGAGTGGACCCAGGTATTCTAGTACGAGGGGGAATCCAAAATGGGACCACGCCACCTGTAATTTATGGCTATGTACTCAATTTGGGTCCATCGGTGGCCAGCTACTGGAGGACGCCCACTGTGTCTAAAAGCAGTGCTACTAAGAAACAAATGGTGCTCCGCACACCGTTGCAGCAGACGCTTACCGTTGTCAGTCCGTTCGGAGTTAAGCCCATAATTACCACCCAGCTGAGCCTCTGAAGAGCTCAGACGCCCTATTTGTGAATTCACAGCCCTAGTAAACACTATAATATCTGAACTAGTAGCACTGCGTAGTGGCCCCTTCAGTTCGTGATGGAATGTGACCCTGACACCATTAAAACTGTAGTCGATGGGAATAAAAGCGGAAATCACAAACAAACAGCGTTTTATACCACCTTGTGAATCAACCTTAGCTGATGTCGTCAAACGGGCTGCACATGAACGGCTGTTCAAGCGGATTCAATCAACCAACTATAGCTCAGTCTTGGAGCTTAGAATGATACCTACACCAGCTTGAGCCATGAGTGCTGCATCAGCGTCTCTGGATGTGTGCAACCAATAACGAGTGGATAACCCGGGTGCAGTTAATTCAACAACCCCATTAGGGTCATTGATCCTAGTTTCGGACACACAACCCACATCAATAACCAGTGTGTCCAAGGTGCGTGCGAGTGCAGCCTGTTGACCTACTTGTCTTAGAGTGCAAACTTTGAACGTCGCCATGGAAACTGGATAGCGTGGCCTTATAAGGGACTTTTGCTGATAGGCGTCCGATAGGTGCTGTGGGATGTTGGCTGCAGATGGTTCTACTCCAGTAGCACTTCGGTTGCTGTCAATTAAGATGGGAATTATTAAAGGAAGGTTAGTAATGGGGGTCGGGATGGGAGTAAGAGAAAAAGGTGGAAAAGAAAGAATGGAGGCGCCAGCATTAGCATGTTTTCGCTTATCCGCCTTGCTGTATGCAGCAGATAAGGCGACCCTTGATAATCTGCGCGACGGCCGATGCAGGATGAAGTTTATGTTTGAAGAAAATGTCATGGTTGTGTGTGGGCTGGGATACTGCCAGGGCGCCCAGACCTAGACAGGAGGACGATTAGGGTCCTCATCCAAAGCCTTTGGCTTAAAAGCTTGTCCGCAAGGCAGCGGGGTGGCAGTGATTTAGTTTTACAGAAATAGTCGCCATCCCATTTCAAACCCCCAACCTGGAGGACAAGGAGATTGAGTTTGTCAGACCTCAAACCACTGACTACCCTCGTAGGAATAGCTCTCAAGGGGGCCGGAGGCATCACTCAGTATAGCTCAATGGGTCAATGAGGTACGCAAACCGTCCCACCACGTTAAGATCCAGTCTCCTTGCGACGGATTCCAATTGACACGTCACCTTTTGGTATAAGGCGGAGTGGTTGCCGTCGAATCTTTTGGCATGCGGATCCACTCCTTCTGAGAACAGCCGCAAGCTCTATGGACTGGGGTACTCCTGATCCCATTCATCTCGACGATGCTTGGAACCTTGTGGTGTCTAAAATGACGTCCCTAATTGAGCAGGTTGTTGTTTTTTCCCGTAGAAAGTTTTTCAAGAGAGGTCCACTTTGGATTGATAGTAAATTGAGATCTCTGGTGAACGTTGTGTCAAAGTCAATGTGACCGGCTATATTGTCACTGACCACTCACTCCTGTTACTGGGGTTGTGTAACTAACGGAGAGCGGATGAACAACCTCGCTGGCCATCGGCTTCTCTGTGGACTGCTTCCGAACGCAAAGAAGGTTGAATCATCCGGCTGCCCTGCAGTTCAGGTCTTTAAGACCAAAGTTTTGGGGTGGGGTCCCTTAAGTAAACCCTCTTCTTCGGCCTAGGCAACCGGTAAGTTCAATGCCCACACAGCACATGGATCTTCCCATCCATTCAGCTGATTCTCACTTCCTCGTTTTAGTTATTGTTACTCATGTGTTATGGCACTCCGCCAAATGTTTATTGGGTAATATATATATATATATATATATATATATATATATATATATATATATATATATATATATATATATATAGTATATATATATATATATATATATATATATATATATATATATATATACTCACTACGCACTCACTTCAGACTCACCCCTCTCGGTGGTTGTGATAAAGGCATTCAACTACTTACAAAGTGTTTGTCAGGCTCTTTTCCTTTCTAGATGATTGTCATGCAGAATCCAACCGTGTGCGAATTATTTGTTTTTTATTTCAGCTCCACAGGTCATCCACAGCGTACATTGTTCACTGAACTCGGAGTCCGTAATCGCACGCTACCTTTTTTGTTCATGATGTCCGATCCGGACACAAGTTCAGACTCTAGTCACAGCTGCGGCAGTGAAGAGGGTGATACAGCTTTACTCGAAAAAGTTAACTTTCTCAAAGCGCAAGTATGCATTCGGCTTACTAACACAATCCTGCAGCTTACATCTTGTCCCACTTTATATGAGTCGCATGTTGAACTCATATCATCTCTTCGCGAACTGGGAAACCTCGAGGATCTAAGGGCTGCGAGAGAAAGTATGCATTCAGTATACCCTTTGTCTCCTAGTGAGTTCCTCTTGCTTAACTATATTTCATCTCGCTATTGAAATCGGTTTGCTGCCCATGATGGTCATGACCGTTTTGGCTCAACCGTCTGGTTGTGCCGAATTCTTTTCTCATTCGAGATTTTTCTGTCTTTAATTCATACTGTGCTGTACAGTGTAGCTCATCCTTATCCATAGCAACTGGACATATGGACACTGCACAACCATCTTATTGGCACGCAAAAGGTTACTTGATGCAGTTGATTGTTTGACATTTGCAGCGGACTAAATTCACAAGGGTTACAATAAATCGCGGAAGCACTCACCAGGTGAATATGTCTAAGTGCAGACGATTATGGCCTTATAATGAGAGTGAAACAATACTCAGTGATGTGCAATCACCTAAGTCATGCGTAGAGCTGCATTCAGACCAACGCGATACTGAAGGAATCGAAGGACAAGATTAGTGCTGCGTTCACCCAAACTTCTACGTTCAAGTACGCATTAACTTTGTTTATAATTCGGAAAACTTTAACTCTGTCGTAAATGGATTGTCCAGCTACTTCCTTAGAAACGCGAATTCAAACGACGCGTTCAACTGTGCTGCTTTAGTGGGATCTAAGATGTAACTCTCCGGTCTTTGCTATTCACCGAGGAACATTTAATTCGCACTTGGCTACTGTGTTCTCGGGCAGGTAACACCCGATATACCATACTTAGATAGTTGTTTGCATCAATGATTTGGTCAGGTATTTGAGTAATCCATACTGACAGTGCAGATATACCGAACCTTCAGGATTACTTTATGTATTGTTGTGTGGCATTAGTCCATTTCTTCTCTCACTCGCATCAATTCTATGTTACACTGATATTCGGTTTATTTTCTACCTAGCCACTGGGGGACGATCTGGTATATCCACCACAAGAGAATATTTAAGTTCATTTTAACGGGAAATGCCTGTGTATATTTAAAGATCATCAACCTCTTGTAGCGGCAACACCAGTACGCAAGGATTCTCTTATATTGAACGCAGAGCTATACTTTATCTTAGCTTGGGCTCTAGATACCACTCTATTGATACTACTGTACATGTAGCGAAATGAGTCTTCCATTAACTACTGAAGCACAGGTACTAATTCATACGACGACTGGACTATGTGCTCGCATGTAACAAGTGGTATCGCTAGTTGGGTCTCAAGGCAACAACAGAGTACTTTTGACACTTCAAACTGTTATCTTTGTTTTTCAGAACTCTGGTTGGACTGGTTTGAAGACGAGCTGAAGATTGCCTCTTCCGTCGAGGAAATGCAGGGTGTTGAAGATCTTTTTAAGCGCGCAGTTGAAGACTATGATGGTGAGTTAGTCTTACCTTAAAACCAACTGAGATACGGAGTTAGCTGTGTTCCTTGTGCTTCTGGTACTACAGATCCGAGTTACTTGCAGTGTCGGTGTTTCACTGAGCGAAATACTTACCTTGCAACTCACTTTCTTATATTGCTTGAAGTACCCGAGTAGTGAACAGATTTTCTCTACTTGATGGAAGCGCCTAAACTAAGTCCGTTAAGCCTTCCTTTCCTCAATGTCAGCGATGTCTTGAGGAGACGATTGGCTGAGTCCAGGCTTAATCAAGCTCGTCGTTGGGTGTCGTAAAGCCGAAACGTAGGTTAGACCACTGCTTTTGGCAGCGTTCGAGTATCATTTCAACGCATCTGATATACAGATTACCGAATGTCCCACTTAGGAAACCTGCGAAAATGATAGACGATTGATCTACTCACGAACATTTACACTCGCAAGTTTTGCAAGGTTTTTAGGTGGATAATTCAAGCGACTTTCATTGTCGCCATCGTTTATTCAGTTATCTAAACACGTAATCGAAGTTAATCTCTGGGCTCGACCAGCCTTGCTGAAGCGGGACAACGTTGATGAACCTGGCGGTTTTCTACTGTGCTTTACTCATGCATTAGTACTAGAACAGTACCACGCATACGAACATATCACGCTCATAATCCTTAAACATTATCTTTTATTCAGTCGGCCGCCTAAGCCTGTGGTTTCATCTGATGTAGAGCATGCCACAAGAGTTCTGTTATGTTCTGGAAACTCACTATCAAGACTGTCAGGTCCACATTAAAGCCTAGGATTGTTTACTGAATTTGCCCCGAATGGGAACATCATGGTTTTCTATCCCTTTGAAGGCTTGGATCTCTCCTCCGTCGCAAGGAGACTGGATCTTAACGTGGTGGGACGGTTTGCGTACCTCATTGACCCATTGAGCTATACTGAGTGATGCCTCCGGCCCCCTTGAGAGCTATTCCTACGAGGGTAGTCAGTGGTTTGAGGTCTGACAAACTCAATCTCCTTGTCCTCCAGGTTGGGGGTTTGAAATGGGATGGCGACTATTTCTGTAAAACTAAATCACTGCCAACCCGCTGCCTTGCAGACAGGCTTTTGAGCCAAAGGTTTCGGATGAGGACCCTAATCGTCCTCCTGTCTAGGTCTGGGCGCCCTGGCAGTATCTCAGTCCACATACAACCATGACTTTTTCTTCAAATATGAACTTTATCCTGCATCGGCCGTCGCGCATTATCAAGGATCGTCTTATCTGCTGCATACAGCAAGGCGGATAAACGAAAACATGCTAATGCTGGCGCCTCCATTCTTTCTTTTCCACCTGTTTCTCTTACTCCCATCCCGGCCTCCATTACTAACCTTCCTTTAATAATTCTCATTTTAATTTACAGCAAGCAACGTGCCACTGGAGTAAAACCGCCTGCGACAGGCACCTGACGCTTATCGACAGCAGTCCCTTATAAGGCCACGCTATCCAGTTTCCATGGCGACGTTCAAAGTTCGCACTCTAAGGTCAACAGGCTACACTCACACTCACCTTGGACACACTGGTTATTGAGGTGGGTTGTGTGTCCGATACTAGGATCAATGACCCTAATGGGGTTGTTGAATTAACTGCACCCGGGTTATCCACTCGTTATTGGTTGCACACATCCAGAGACGCTGATGCAGCACTCATGGCTCAAGCTGGTGTAGGTATCATTCTAAGCTCCAAGACTGAGCTATAGTTGGTTGATTGAATCCGCTTGAACAGCCGTTCATGTGCAGCCCGTTTGACGACATCAGCTAAGGTTGATTCACAAGGTGGTATAAAACGCTGTTTGTTTGTGATTTCCGCTTTTATTCCCATCGACTACAGTTTTAATGGTGTCAGGGTCACATTCCATCACGAACTGAAGGGGCCACTACGCAGTGCTACTAGTTCAGATATTATAGTGTTTACTAGGGCTGTGAATTCACAAATAGGGCGTCTGAGCTCTTCAGAGGCTCAGCTGGGTGGTAATTATGGGCTTAACTCCGAACGGACTGACAACGGTAAGCGTCTGCTGCAACGGTGTGCGGAGCACCATTTGTTTCTTAGTAGCACTGCTTTTAGACACAGTGGGCGTCCTCCAGTAGCTGGCCACCGATGGACCCAAATTGAGTACATAGCCATAAATTACAGGTGGCGTGGTCCCATTTTGGATTCCCGCTCGTACTAGAATACCTGGGTCCACTCTGGTACGCTGTCATTTCTCCTTGAACTTTACTGTGAGGCGCCCCAAGCGTTTCCCTCGATTGGCAACTGATAACTTCTCTTAACCCTCGGTCAGTCAAGCCTACCTGGATGCCCTGCGTACCGAACTTTCGCTGTCTTATTCTAACGATACTGAACTTCAGTGGAATAGGATCTTGGCCGCCATGCACGATACAGGAATCTCTGCTTATGATACAATTAATCGTCATCGAACCAGTCAATGGATATCCGAGAGGTCGGTGAACCTGATGGAATCCAGCAGAAAATTCCCGGCTGGTTCTGAACACAATGTGACCAGGCGGACTATTAGACGCGAAGTAAAGCGGAGCCTACGTGCTGACAAGGAAGCCGGGTGGACCAGTAGGGCTCAAGAAATGGAGGAGACAGGAGCAGTAGGTAATTACTGCAAGTTTTTTCAGCTGAGGTGTTTCCCACCTGTAGCTAACGTGTATGAATGTGAAGGTCATGCTGATGATGATGATGGTGACGACGACGGCGATGGTGAGGATGATGATGGCGGAGATGATCATGACCTTGTTCATGTCCAGTTGATTGCCACTATCTGCCATTCCACTGTCAGCAACCGATGTTACATGGTCGAAGAATTGTATTTGACATGTTATGCAGGATCGCTTCGTGAGGAAGCTGTGTTGTGCTTTGTTTATCAGATGCAATCTTGTTAAGAATTGAATAAGACCACTCGTGACAATTCGCTTCAGTGCCTTTGCGGCTGCTGCAGTATGATTACTAGGGCGATAATTCGTCATTGCAGATCGGGAGCCACCTTTGTGTTTTTGTCATATTATTGCGTGTTTCCATTGTGGAGGGAAGTATCCACAATGTATGGATTACTTGAAGACGTTTAACGTCAACAGAGGAATGTTTTTGTCTTTATACTTGATGACAGCTGGAGGAATACCATCGGGTCCTAGCTAATATGACGGTTTTATGGAGAGTAGACTCCTTTGGACATCGCTTGGGCTCACGAGAATACTCCAGAGCTCTTCATCTGTCTTCCCTTTTAGAAGAGGATGAGACATACTGATATCCATATTGAATGAGGTCGTTTAGTAACAGTTCAATGCCTCACACATTTGGCTAACGTCGTCAGTTGTTGAGTCATATTCTAATGTCCGACTTTGGATTTGCTGTTTCTGCTTTGTATTCCTCCCATTGAGAAGTTTCACCAAGTTTGTATCTTTTGTGGTTTTTTAGCGCTCTGTTTTTATCGGCGAAATCTAGCCAGGAATTTTCGCTTCTTCTGGTTGAATAAGCGTTCTTTTGTATTCTTAGGGCCGCAAGCAACCCGTTTACTTTGTGGAGCAAGATGGGTTATGACATGGTGACTGTTAGTACAGAACAGTGTTACTGTTATGCAAATGTTGATGGACGGAAAAAATACATCCCAGTCGAAAGGTCGGACCATATGTTGCAGATTTGTCCCGTTACTTCCTTGGATTGAATATTGTGATAGCTGGTCCAGATTTACGTGTATTCTGGCACTGAAGATAAATTGTAAGATGTGGTCACTACCAGGGAAGACCATCCAGCAGATGTCTGCGTTGACGATTCCCAGTGTGCGTATTAACTCAAGTACGTCGGTTGACCTTGTAGGTTCTGTAACCCATTGTGCCCATCTTCCAATCACGATAGTTGTACGGAAGTCTTTATATGCTACCGAAGATGGATTTGATGACCAAGGTATTTTTGGGAAGTATGACCGCGCAGATGCCAAATTTAATGCGGAATGAGTAATAGTGACATGACCACTTGGAACATTCTTAAAGTCGTGGATGCATCCGAGAAGTATATGATAGGAAGAGCTAATAACAAGTAACCACGGAGATTCAGGCTCGTTTTCCAGCTCCTGATGGCCAAGAGACATCGCCGTAAATGTCCGATGGAGATATCTAGTACATCTGCATCCACTTCTTTGCAGCGATCTTTACGAAATAGCTGATAGTTTGGAATCGCCATAGTTAAATTTAGTCTACTGGTAGAGCGCCGCGTTCGTGGTGTGGATCGCACTTTTAATGTGCAGTCATGTTAAGTACCTGAAGCATTTTTACATAGATCTCGCATTAATCATAAGTAGAGAAAATGGGATGTGTGTTGGTTCTTTTGCAAACGTTAGATTGGGTTGAGAATTGAGGAGCACAAAGTTGTGGCATAGAAACTGTATACGGCGATGGAGGGACAGGTGCAGTCTTTAATATACTCAAGAAACTGGGCATGTTTTTAGTCAAGATTACCGTTAAGGCTGGTTGAAGAGAGATGGTTGATACATGAAGGCTGGGTCGTTGAATATCAGCTTTTTCTCATATTGTTCTGTATGTTGGAGATTCTTTAAACCTGTTGCTTCCGATGAAGAAAGTTGGTTACATGATTGCTCGCTTGCTCTGAATATGAATCCATCGGCATGCGGAGTATGTATATTATATCGGTGCCCACCAATCCAAGGAAGGATCAAAGATTTAACAGCCATATTTCATCTTTGCTATGCACTGGGAAATTGTCGCCATCAAAATGGAACTCTATGTATTTCTGAACTTGTGATATATGAATATCGGTCAAGGGATAAGGGCTACTCAAAGAATTAGAGTTCGGGGTTCGAAAAATGGTTTGGTTGCAACTTCTTGAAGTTGGATGCAGGACGTAAAAAGGAGTAGTTATTAAGACAGTAGTTTCCGCATCTGTCCTTTTGTCTCATTCTACATTGTTACTGTGAACACCTTGTCATAGCATTGTTCACAAAGGTAGTAACTGTACGCTATCTGCTATGTGCTCACGTGAACACAGTCAACGCCCAGCTATGGGACAGCCAATTTTCCCATACCCACGGATTGCTCATGTTTTATTTCTTACTCCGGTAGGGACGAATTTAAAAGCAACAAGTGCTACTACCCAATTGGCAAGTTATTACACTGCTTTCAGATTCACCCTCATTACTACGATTTGTTACTCGCTGTTTCCATCACGCATTAAAGGAGTATGCAATAAGTAGCGGCCACGCTTCACAGCCTCCGCTTCATGGGCACTAAAGAGTTAACTTATTCCCTTCTCCTTCATTCTCAGATCCATCAATTTGGTTGGAGTATTGCCTATTCAAAATAGGCCGTTTCTCTCCAGAATCTCCAGAGTCAATTCGAGCAGTGGAAGACGCGTTCACATTGGCATTATCTCACCAAGGCCTAAATGTGGCATCAGGAAGCGTAATCTGGGAAGCGTACAGAGACTTTCAGACCGTGTTGCTCGAATATTTCAAAGTGGTAAGCTGAACTATCTTCTCTTTCTAAGTAATTAGCTCTCTCCACGCTTTCGGATTATCCGTATGCGAATTTTTGGTACTTACTTATTACAAGAGGCTATTTTCCCAGCCCACTATTCTGAACGTATCACGGTTTTTGCTATTCTTTAGCAATCAGGCTATTCCCACCATTAATACGAGTTACGAACATGCGAGTTACGACATGCGTGATGAGTACCAGACTGGGCTTGGATTGATTGGTGCGTTGCTTATTTATCCAACTGAATCGTCAATTTGAGCCAGGCACCGTATGTGGTAAGTTTGGTATTCCCTTCAGCAACTCTCATAACAGCTTGGGTTGAACAAACGAAGGTGTTATCAGTGTACTCAGCATCGAAAAACGATCTTCCACCCGGATTCGGTTTCAGTTATCGTAATACCTAAAAGCCACCTTCAACCAAATCCTCATATAACAAAATTCCTTGCCACAGTTTAAAAAGGACAATGAATGAACGTTGTTGCCCGTGTAGCTCATAGCAATGAAGACATCTTCGAGCATTTTCTGCATTTCAGGTTTGTGTATCGACCGCATTCCTTCACTTGAAGAGACCAAACAAAACAAAACCAGTCGTGGAATATAGCAGAGACTAACATCTGCTCGAGACATGACCTCGTTGACCTCACTGGCCGAACACAAACCACAGCACAAACAAAGGTTTCGTATCGTGACCTGTGTGCACTGTGGATGATCTGAAACACGAGTGTCAACTGCTCACTCGTTTAGATTCTCCACTCAGGATTTGGCAAGTGCTATGGGATGCCATCTGTCATGACAGCAAATTTCCTTCGTCTCGTTTGCAAGAGATTCTGCTATGTTGAGAAGATAGACGCTGGTAACAATTCCAAACTGGCCAATCGACCGTTCAACGCTGTTCATGATATGTGACCGAACCTGGTAGCGACGAATCGGCTCAGCACACCAATAACTCTAACACTCTTCTTTTGACTAAGTTTCTCGATTTTCTTTCAGTAGCTTTCCATTTTATTTGCTTCGTCCAAACTAATTCTGCCTCGTGAATTCCAGCCTAACCGATACCATCGATGCGAGGCTAGATCCTAACGTGACGCGATTATATGCCTCTCCGCGTGATCAATTGATCAACACTGAGTAACACTTTCTAAGTGCCTTCAGAACCACTCATAATAGGCTGACCAAGCTTTATGGGTCGGACAACGTCAATCCCAGCGTCTTCTTCGGAAGTTGAACAGAGATTGATTGCCCTTTTCCTCAAAATTTTATTTTGGGAGGCAACAAGTTGCGGACTATGAGCTTAATTTGATTGGTGTAGGACATGAGAATCGCGCATTATATCTGGCGGTGCGAGAGTATCACTCGTACTCAACGACCTGGTACCTCTATCTCCAAACCATGCAGGAACTGGTCAAAATGCTGCAACCCCTCAACTTCCAACTGCGGTTGGCCGTATCACACAGTGCCTATTATACTACTATAAGAAAGTGCATGAATTCTTTCAATTCTTCAAAGGCTACCTGTGACAGGCTTCAAGTAGATCCTACTGAAACTTTTCAGTCGCACTCCAGAGCTAGACTGGCACTCCTATACCCTGTGGGTCAGGCTAGGTTAAATCTTACCGGAGCAGCAAACTGTTCGCAAATCAGAACTTCTCTGTGAGCTGCAATTGCGCGCTTCAAACGAAGCAAAATGTGTTCACACAAGCAGATACCATATACATACATAGAGAGAACATGCTCCTTGTGTCCGCGCCCATGTGTTTCAATGGTACGAAAACACTGTTCTCATTGCTTGTTATCATCATCAACAGCACTACATCAGCCATTTGAGCTGATACTTCTCTGCCATACAACCATAACAACCTATGAAACAAAGAAAAATAAGGCGGGGAGAAAGGGGATGTACCGGAAAAACTTTATGCCGTAAGCGGACATCAGGGACAAGGCGCCTACACCTTGTGTACACAACATACCGTCACAAACAGCTGGCTGTCGGGCAGATAAAGCGGCATCGGCCAGACAGCCTCCTTGCAATTTTCACTGCCCCGTGTCATTATCAGCCATTGACCCGCAGAAGCGTCAGCTTATCCACCTGGCTCTATGCAGCAGTTAAGGTGACCCAATTGCGCAACGGCCATCGCAACATGAGATAATCAGTATTGGTGCCAGGGAGAATAATACTCCCAGGAAAACTCATTAATTCAATAGAAAAACAAGCTGAACAACGGAAACATCAAGTCGTTTCATGAGTGTTCGCGTCTATACGACATGAGCACCAATCTTCGCACTACCTGGCGGTACTGATCTACCAATCAGGGCAGATGACTTAGCTGTTCTGATCCGCAAAGCTTATTTGTTTTACTTATAAATATCCGTCCCTTTCACACTACTTGTTTCCGTTTCGGTAGCTGTTTCTACAACACGCTTTTCCTTCCAAGCGTTGACTTCTGATTTTCGGCCGGGATTCGGAGCAAACCCAGAACGAGTTCATTACAACTGGAATCGCAAGCAAGAGGTAGATTCTAACAATTGACATAATTCATGTTTAGTTTGTGGACCGGATACTACCAGGGCTTCCTCACCTGAACAGGAAAACGGCTCGGGTCCTCAGCCAAAGCCTTCGGTCAAGTGTACTACCGAAAGGCGTAGGGAAATGTGCCGTGAGTCAGTGAACTGATACTGATACTGATTAGAAGCAGCGAGTAGAGCATACTCTGTGTAGCTGCATCAGTTGTCGCTCTTGGGCATTAACGTATTAATTATCGTTTCACTCTTTATATTTTGCCTCTGCGAAGTGTTTGTCTAGAAGCTTCTTAAATTCGGCCACTGAATTCGCCTCTATTACCGGCTGCGGCAGTTTGTTCCAGGTATTCACCACTCTACGTTCGAAACAGAGTTGGGGAGCTACCCGCTTCAACTGCGGTACGATAAGTTTGTGCCGGTGTCCTCGCGTGCCGCTTGGTGTGCGCAGATGAAGCAGTTGTCTCAACATGGGGTAATCACTCAGAGGTAATATCCGGTGCGTCATGATTAGGTCAACCCTCAGCCGACGATATGTTAGGGTGTACAGCCCTAGTTTCTTACATCGGGGAAGTTGTCCTGGTGTAACCCAGCTCCTACCCAGCGATTATCAACCGATGCATATCTGTCCGTAAGATCAGACTCGATTAGCAGGACCCAGAAATCTGTTGCCGCGAAGAATGACGCATGCAACGTTTGCGCTACGCTGCATTCCAATCGCCACTAACACTATCTAGCTTGGCGCTGTAATTGTGCGCGCTACTGTCTGTCTGTAATTTTGAACGCAGTTATCCATGACGGGTAACCGTCAGACCCAGCACTTTCAGATGGCTATGTGGCAAGATATAGGGAAAGTAGTACATTTACGCAAGTCTACTGGTTAGTGTGAGAACCGTGCGGTTCCATCTAGATGCAGGTAACTATATCCGTATAATACTCAAATGCACGCTCACAGTATACGAGTCTAACCCAACTAGCGCTTCCTGAAAATGTGGAACGGATTCAGCCTACGTTTAAAAAGTGCTGCTACGATCGAAGTACTTACTCCGAAAGCCGGATCGCCACATCCAGATTTTGTTGTTCTGGAAGATGACCTCATACCTATTTTCGGTATTGACTCCACACAGTCTTTTGGCTACACCCACTTTAATCAGGAGCGTTTCATCAATGCCTCACCATCATCATCATACACGTCAGCTAAAGGTGGGAAACACCTCAACTACTGTGCCGCAGTACATAAAGGAAAAAGGAAAATAAATACAAAAGTTGCATGTCAGCTGAGCTACCAGCAACGGATAGGCATCGTTCCGGTAAGCTACCAGCCGGCTACTAGGCAAAAAGAAAAAAATATTGTGTTTTACGCCAAGAAATGAGATCGTTCATCCATGCTTGATAGGTGGACAATGGTGTTACTAGTCTGTGTCCCTCAGTGTTTACCCCTGTTCGGGGAAATTGAGGGAATCGCCCTATTTGTCGTTAGATCGCTTAAGGCAACCGACTGCGCTGCCGGCCAGGAGGGTTCCGCCCTCTCTGTGTGACAGGTTCTGTGCTGAATTAATCGAATTGGTGAAGGTTGGTGTGATTGCCAAAGTTGGCTAACCAACCGACTGGGTTATTCACCTCGGAATCATCACAAAGCGGACCTTCGAATCACGCGGGTGCATTAACAAAAAACCGTTGAATATGCCACCGCATAGAGAAAATTATGCGTTACCTACTCTTGAGGACATCCTACCGCGTTTGGCCAAAGCTAAGTATTTCACCGTTGGTCTGCACTCTGGCGCAGTTCTAGGCAAGTAATCCGGTTCTCTTACGCGCTTTTCTGGTCTGTTCGGGTGCTGTCGTTCTTGCTTTTATCTTTTGGTTCTAATGATATTCTCCGACAACGGTTGATGCAAGCCGTTGGCGGCCTAGCTGGTGTGTCAGACGATGCTGTAATTTAAGCCCGATTAAAGGAAAACATGACACCAATCCCTATCGTTTCTTGCGACGTGTGCACAATAAGGTCGAAATTACACGCGAGAAAATTGGGCTTTGGATTGCCGAGGTGGTTTTTCACGGGCATATGTTAACATCCGAGTGGATCCAGGAACAATTAAGGCAAGACAGAAGATACCGCCCCAAAACGATGTGAATCGTTTGCTCCCACGGCATAGCGAATTATTTGAAGCATTTCGTGTCAGGACTTGCCGATATCATGATGCCGATCAGGAAGCTAACTCACGTAGGAGTAAAGTGGACTGGAAAAATAACGGAAACTCGGATTCAGAACCATTAGGCACTTTATGGGTAACACACCTGTACTGACTGGGTTGTTACGATTCCGTGCAGCCTCTGGAGATACAGTGTTCTGGTAGCCAGAATGGAATAGTTTCTGTTTTCATGCAGGATGGAAGACCTTTTGGTTTTCATTGCTGGGCACTCCTGTTCACAGAGTTGCGCGTTGGGCAGATCGAAAAGGAGATGTTCGCAGTAGTCTGTGTCTTGCGGCATTTTAACAGTAATACTTTCGACAAGCAGACAACTATGTATACTGACCACAAATCATTTGTGTCTATAGCGAGTAGACCGCTGCACAACGTTCCTTGTCGTATTCAGCATATGCTTATCCGACTTTAAAATTACGCTATGGAAATTTTGTCTACACCAGGAGGATAGATATTCATCACGGACACCCCGTTCATAGCTCATCTGCCGGTAGCAGAACGGCATACAGAAGACATCAAAGCGTTTACTATGGTGCGGCAGCTGGTAGTGGCGAAAGTTTCACTGAAAGAAATAAGGGGTCACACGGAGGAAGACGCTGTGTGTTCTGCTTTACAATGTTAATCTTGCATGAGCTGTCGAAGATAAATTAACTGTTTACGAAGGGATTGATACTCAATTTCAATTTTTGGTTTGAACTGACTATCTGTAACACTTCACACAGGAATCCTTCTCTGCTCCTGCCTTTGCTCTAAAGAGACGCTGGAACATGTTCATCGCAATCAGCTGCGTATTAACGATAGCTTTAGCAGACTGGAAGAATTGATGTGTTGGTCGGAAATGACAGATCAAATCAGCGGTCTTGTGTTATACTGTGCGACGTGCTCTTCACATGAAATGCGGCTGCGCGAAGTTCCCAGTCGACCACGGTAAAGCTTGGCTGTGAACTTCCTCTGTGATGACAGAAGGTTGACTTACGGCGGATTACTATAGTGATTGTTTCAATAGATGTGCTCACCACCGCAACTATTGAACAGTTATCTACATGCTTATCTGTCGGTTTGCTCGTCACGGAATATCGGAAGAGCTTGTCTCCGACCATGGTCCCCATTTTGCAGGCGCTGCGTTTCAGTCCTTTGCAACCAAGTGGGAACTTGCGCAGAGACAAATCAGCCCATATCATAATAAGTCAAATGGAAACGTGAAGTCACCAGTAAAGCAAGCCAAAGTGAAAGCAACTCCCGAAGACCTCTGTCCTGTGGCGAATCGCAACACCCGTTTAACGGATCAGCCTGAGCCCACTGTAACATCTATGCAGCTGTAGGACAATAATTCTGGTACCGTCATCCGCCACATTTTTGCGCCCAGTTTCGCCATAACCTGAGAGACTACAAATTAGTTTGAGAAGACGAGTGAACATTCAGAAACACTACTACGACGGATGTGCCAGGCACTACCTGAGTTCACATTGAGGAAGTATGGGTTATAGCAGTAACCGGCGTTCGGGATCATTGAAGGAGAAATGTCGTGAACGCGATGATGATTGCAACCTCACGTGAAATTGTTGGAAGAAAGATGATCAAACCAAACTAATGGCTATTGAGACTACCCAGAAGGCAACAATATGGATTAGGAACGGAGGGCCCTAAGCGTGTAGCGACAATGCCCACAGCAAAGACAGTGCGGAAGGGCAAAGTGATACATAGTGCTTAACAAAGTGGGTTTGTCTGGAGTTTCTTATCATAGTAGACAGATGGATCAAAAGAGCGAGCCGGACAGTCGGTTGGAGACAAATTTGTCTGATTCTATCACAGCATCTTAATTTCTTGACGTTCATGTGCGCTACTGTGAGCTTCTCGTCGTTCGTTTAACTAAATAGACGGCGTAACTTCATAGGTGCAAGAGGGTCGTTGTTTGTGGTAGTATACGAACAATTCGAGAATGTACATTATTCTTAATATTATTTTATGTACCCATGCGTTATGCTTGTCGAGAATGCTGTAATTTTGGCTGAGTTGACCTTGCTGCATAGACTCTTTTCCTTTAAGAACCTAATTAGACGACACAGACCACCGAAGCGTATGCAGTAAGATTACGCAGCTCGAAATTGGGCTGCGTATGTTTAGGAATTCATTTTAGAGCACCAAACGTGCTCCGGGGACATCGGTAACTAAAACCACACAATCTTTTACCGTCACGCAAAATGTCTACGCCTCGCGATCCAACCGTGTTGTAAATTCATAGACCCTGTCCTTTATCGAGCGGATGAAATCTTAACGTTGCCAGAGATGATGTATTCTGTCAACATCCACTTCGACTGTAAAGACCCTCAAAGTGATATCTGTTAAACCGCTCTCCAAAGTGCGCAATTGGCGGCCGCTTCCCGCAGGTCACCGGAACTGGTGAAGTCGAAAGCAACTTCTAATCAGTCACGCAGGAATGTCTTAGGTTTTAAAAGGTCGAGAGTCATTCTGAGATTTGCAGCAGGCTTCTTCATTCAACTCAGCGAATTTACAGTGACATGCGAAGCAGAAAAGCTTATACTGATACCATCAACACATTTTTAATCACGAAGCCTTTTCACTGGAAACTACCTGATGCCAGAACGCTCTCCAACCTGTTTAAAGTTGGCGATAGGGTTGGGCAACCACTGGGATTCCGACGGTGGATGAAAAAGCATCAAATACTCACAAATAGCTCGAAGTTCGGGAATCAATGGCTTGAGGTCTATAGTACAATCTTACAGAGTTCATCGCAGTAGCTTATACGCCAGATAGCCCGCCACCAATCCGGAAAAGCACTGAGCAACCGTTACGTCTTATTGGGGTTGCTCAAGGGCGTGCACACCTCGACTTAAACAGGAACCGGACCCATGGCCACTGGCGACTTGAGTCATCAGACACTAAGCGGCGGGGACGGCGACAAACCATCACGATTAACAAACGTATTGCGATTTAGTGTAACTAATCTTCTGCTGCTATGCAGGCTACTAATCTTTCGGATTACCATAGTGGGCACCATGCAGTCACGACTTCCCACAGCAGCAGCTATGTACACACAGCACTTAATGGCTTATGCCACTGACCACAACTTTTTGACTGGCTTCCGGTATTACTGATCTCAATAGTTGGCTCTAATGCTTAATTTTTTAACCGAATCAACCTCTGTTCGAATTTTTAAGACCGTTGCTGATTGGCTGACAGGAAGTCCGACAGTACTCGAGTATTCAAAAGATTCTTAGTTATGATCGGTGTCCGACAATGTATAGTTTGCTTTTGTACTAACGATCCTTCGTTATGAAAAGTTGTTCTACGTGCCATTCATAAGTCAAGTTATGTACGCTACCCTACTGGTTATAACTGTTTTGTCGTTGTGCTTTGCCTCCGTATTTAGAAATTCCTATGATTTATCATAGTGTGTACTTGCGTTTATCATTGGGCAGAATTCCCCACAATTAGTGGAGGAGCATGTGAAGTGCATGGATCGATTGTTTCGCCGCCAGCTGAGCATACCATCATTGTGTGAGTTGTCCGATTGCTCTTATCGCTATTGTACCAATGTTCTTTTCTGTCTGATAACCGTTTGCTTTTTCATCTCTTTGACGAGTGATTTCATGAGCGATGGCTGTTCCTATGATCCATTCTTTGGCTAAGTGCCTATAGCATAACACTATGATGTGACCTCATCGACGCGATGCCCTCGTTCTTTCATTCATTCGATGCCACCTTTCAATTAGTGGTTAGCCACTATGCAGAGAGTTACTTCTGTACCTCAGAGCTCCCATTAGTCGATGTCACACAACCGACCAATTTGTAATTCTTCTTTTACAAAGTTTGGCGTTGTTTGCAATGAATGTTCATTATGCATTATTTACGGATCTTAGACTGTATTACGCATAGCTACATGTGTTGTCGCCAATCGATGTGCGCTCCGTAAGCCTGTCGTGCTGCTGACTTGCTCTGTTCATTGCTAAGATAGCCAGTACACTATTTGTTTTTTGACTGGTTTTTAAAACAGGTTTTTAACTGTTGATTTGGGCCGGTTGCCGTAGTATATTATGGTTTCACATCCCGTAGGCTTCTTTTTGCAAGTAGGTACTACTAACCTACTACTACTACTACTATTACTACAACAACAACAACAATTAACTACTACTACAACTAACTACCACAACTACAACAACAAGTACTACTACTACTACATCATCAACAACAACCAACCACTACAACTGTTAGAACCCAAGGGGCAGGCGGTAACTTGTTTATTGCTAAAGTGGCTTACACTAGGTGTGTTCGTTCATACTTTGGAGGCGTCCGCTCATCTGCGTGATTTCCATGGAGTGTTCCCCAACTGGTGCTTGCCTCTGTGTTTACTCCTCGTGCACATGGAACTGTCATCCTGATGTCATCTTCAACTTTGGGGAAGTCGGCAGGGCTCGCTGTTGGTGTGTCATCTTGCACCACACTACTTATACCCGGCGAAGTAGTATCTACCTTTAATCCACCACACTCCTCCCCCTCCAAAGGATTCGCGTCAGCTGCCTTCCGTCGGAGTCTTTCTGACCGCCGGGGATGTTCACTGTACGAGCGTGTTTCCTCCTCCAATTCGTACCACTTCCTCAGCTCGCTGGCATTCACCCTCCGCGATTCACCTTGCCGAGCGATTGTATACACTGGGCCTCGTCGGTCGACTACCTCGTACGGTCCTTTCCACTTCGCTAGGAGTTTCCTCTCCCCTGGGCCGCAAGTGGGATAGCGTTGATGGTCCCTGTACTTCACTTTCGAACCAATCTGAAACTCGATATTCCTTCCACCTTTGCTGGTCTGGAACTTCGCCATCATCCGCGCCTGAGTCGCCTGTAGATTGCGGTTGGCGGTCTTCCGGTTATTCCGTGTCTCCTCGGGAGATATACGGCAAGTTGGCCACATTCCAATCTCTAGGTCCACAGGTAGACGAGGTTGTCGACCGTACATCAACTGGAATGGTGATTTCTTTGTGGAAGCCTGTTTGGTTGCTCGATGGGCCAGCAACAGTAGCGGCAGCGCTTCCTCCCAGTCTCCACCTTTTGCTGCTAGCCACTCCTTGATTGTTCTATTGTTACGTTCCGTCAGGCCATTTGTTTGCGGGTGGTATGGGGTGGTGCGCAATTTCTTGATGCCAAGTTTCTCCAAACAGTTCCGGAATTCTTCACTCTCGAAGCACGGCCCTTGGTCTGTTAAGATGGCTTTTGGGATTCCGTGAGCCGCTACCAAGTGATTCATGACAGCATGGGTAACGGTGCTAGCCCGTTGATCCGGGATTCCTGTCGCCTCAATCCATCGCGTGAAGTGCTCCGTCATCAATAAAATGTACTGGTTACCACGCCTGGTCAATGGAAACGGCCCCATCACGTCGACCGACCAAAGTTCACCAATTTCCGAGACCGGGATCGTCATCGTTTGCTGCTGCATTCCTCGGCAATCCGTTTTCATGAGCTGACATTGTCTGCACGAAAGTACGCACTTCTCAACGTCCATTTTCATCCCCGGCCAATACGCGCGTTGTTTCAGCAGATCGTAGGTCCTGGAACAACCTGTGTGCGCCATCTCGTGACAAGAAACTACTAGATTCCGTCTTCGTTTCATTGGAATGACTGGCACCGAAGGGTTGCTACCTCCTGGTATCCACATTAAGATCCCTGCTTCGTTCACTTGCAGCTTTCCCAGGTCTTTTGCAAACGGTCCCAGCTGCTTGAGTTGGTTTTTGTTGAAGTTTGTCTGACCAGCTAATCGCGCGGTGATCAACTTGCGCAGGAGTTTGTCGCTACGTTGCTCAGTTGCCAACCGTTCTGGATCCTGCTCGCACAGTATACCGTTAATACCGAAAGCTACGCTCGGCAGGTCATCATCATCTATCATGCGTGACAAGAAATCCGCCGTCTGATTTTCCCTCCCCGGCACGTGTTTTATCGTGAAATCATACTCTTGTAGGCGCAATGCCCATCTCGCCAGCTTTCCTCTGGGGTCTTTGGCAGACTTAATCCACTCCAACGGTCTGTGGTCTGTTTCGACGTGAAATCGCTGACCCAGGAGATATGGCCGCCATTTATCTAACGCCCAGACAATTGCGAGACATTCTTTCTCTATGGTTGAGTATCTGCGTTCCGCAGGCGTCAAAGTTCGGCAGGCATACTCAATCGTCCCATGGTTTTGTTTCAACACCGCACCGATCCCGACATCGCTGGCGTCAGTGGCTACCGTGAACACCTCACCAGCAATGGGCAATTTCAGGGTCAACTCCTGCCTTCCCATTTCCTGTAGAATCTGATCAAAGGCTCGTTGAGCTTCTGCATTCCAAGTGAATTTCCTATCTTGTTTCAACAGCTCGTACAAGGGTGAGGCCAAGGTGTTAAAATCCTTGACGAATTTGCTGTAGTACCCGGCGCGGCCCAGGAATGTACGGAGAGTGCGTTTCGAGGTGGGAACTGGGCTGCCTTGTATCGTCATTATCTTCTCAGGTAGCGGTTTCAGTTCGCCTTGTCCCACTTTATGGCCCAGTAAGGTGACACAGGTCTTTCCGATCTGGGACTTTGGTCCATTTATACGAAGTCCCGACTGCTGAATGCGTTCCAGAACTGCCGCGAGATGATGGATATGTTCCGCTTCTGATTGGCTATACACCACGATATCATCCCCGTACACAACCACGTTTTCCAATTCACTCAGCAATCGCAGCATTAGACGTCGGAAGGTAAACGGGGCTCCTGATAATCCAAAGGGCATCCTCTTAAACTGATACTGTTTCTCACCAACGGTAAACGCCGTCTTCTCTCGATCTTCCTGTTTTATTGCCAGTTGCCAGTATCCTGATCTCAAGTCCAGGACCGTGAATATCCTCGACTGCTGCAGCCGATCAAAAATGTCAGCAACTGATGGAACTGGAACGAAGCGAGTCAAGGAAATTTCATTCAGTCTTCGGAAGTCGACACAGAATCGGTACTTCCCATTCGGCTTCTTCACTAAGACCACAGGAGAGTTGTACGGGCTATGTGCCTCCTCAATCACGCCCGCGTCCAGCATTTCCTGCACTTGCCTGTTCACCTCAGCCTCCAGGTGGATTGGTATCCTTCGAGGTCCATGGGGCCGATACGGTTGGCGAGTTAGCGGGATGGTGTGCTCGATCCAATCGCAAAACCCATATTGGCTGCTGTCATCCGTAAACAAGGGTTGGTATTTGTTGATCAGCGACTGCAAAGATGGGCTCAAATGTAACACAGCAACGACCGACTGCGAAGATCTCATTTCTCCACGATTAATGAGTGGTAGTGACCCGCATTCCATCAGCAACTTCCCACGCTTTAGATCAATGACAGCTTTATTGAGCTCCAGGAAATCTGCTCCCAATATGGTTTGTTTCGCATCTGGTGACACGAGAAAGAAGTGTGTTCGCTTTCGTCCCCCGATTCCTACGGTGTGTTCGGCTATACCATCAATTCCCACTGAATGACCGCCAACCGCTCTTACGATCGTGCAGCACGACTGAAGCTTTTCACCTCGCCGATGGTTGATTAGTGACACCGCGGCACCCGTATCGATCAGACACCTTTCCATCGTTCCGTCTACTTCCACCATTGCTTCAACCGCACTCCTGCTCAACGCCCCAAGTACACAATCCTCGATCCGAAAAGAAAAATAAGGTTGCACACGTTTATTCGACACCCGAGTAACACCACGCCTCTGCGGACATTGTCCCTTCCAGTGCCCCGGTTTCCCGCAGATGAAGCAACATCCCTTTGTGCGCACCCGATAACGCTGAACGCGAAGCCCATTGATGTCTTCCGTAAGCTGTTCCATCATCCGTTCCACATTCTCATGAGGCTCTTCCTTCAGCGCAGCTAGTGGTGCGTCGCCCAGGTCTCGAGTAACTTGCGCCAACTCCTCCAATTGCATCTTCCGAGTAGCATTCGCAATCCGAACGCGCTCCGCGGTTGGCTGTGGGAGGCCGGCCAAAAACTGATCCACCAGCAACTGCGTCTTTGACGGCCCATCCAACCCCGGCAAGGCGCGGTCCAACAAGCTCCTGAGGTGCACCGCAAACACGAGGGGATCCGTCCCAGCACCAAGCCGCGACGCCTTGAACCGTCGCATCGCCTCCTGGCGGTCCGCTGGCGTGTCCAGGCCAGAGAGCAACGCTTCCTTCGCGGCAGTCCACTCCAACTTGACCGGACCTCTTCGCGCCGCCTCCAGAACCGCCTTCGCCCTGCCCTTGAGGAGACTCCGCAGGGCCGCCATCTTCGCCCGGTCCGTCTTCAGTCCTACCGCCTCTGCCACCTCCTCGAAATCCTCCAAAAACGCCTTCACATCCCCGTCTTCAAATGGTTCCGGTCAGGGAATCTTCATGACTTGCGAGGTCACGGCACCAAATGTTAGAACCCAAGGGGCAGGCGGTAACTTGTTTATTGCTAAAGTGGCTTACACTAGGTGTGTTCGTCCATACTTTGGAGGCGTCCGCTCATCTGCGTGATTTCCATGGAGTGTTCCCC